CTGGTTCGTTGGATGACTGTGTAATAGTATCAAGTTCTTTGGATAACTTAGTGAGTCCGTTTTTGATGGATTCCAAGTGTTTTTCAAGAGGAAACTCTGTAAAGATATCTTTTGGGATCTTAAAGTAGATTAAGATATCCTTAAGATGCTGTTGGCTCATGATAAATTCCAAGTAGTTCTCCAAGCTGATTCTAGAGTTTCTCAATCTGTTGAATTCGTTTGTCATATTAAAACTGGTGTAGTTTTGGAAGAAATCTTCAATTTCCATGATCTTGACGAGTTCCTCGCGTTTTTCTTTGGATTTAATAATAGCAGGATTGGAGGTGGAGAACAATTTTCCTGATTTGCGTTTCTCGCTTATGGCATATTCCAATACGTCACGGTGCTTAAAGTCAAGGATTTTGATGTGACTTGCCCATTTGAAAGTTCTTTCAAATTTCATCAACACGTTTTGGAAGGATGGATCATTGGTGTTTGTAGTGGCTCGAGGTGTGCGCTTGTCTCCAGCGGTGGCTTGAGCATAGGTTTGGATTGGTCTTGTCACATTGACAGCTGGAGCCACCGGATTGGAGGCCGTAGTTGGAGAGGCGACGGTAGAAGATGAAACAGAGGGAACAGGAACAGAAGGAACAGAAACAGAAGGAACAGAAACAGAAGGAACAGAAACAGAATTTTTTTTTGGGTTTTGAGAATTTTCGATTTTTTTTTGGTTTTCGGAGTTTTCATTAATAAAATCAGTAGAAATAACGGCTTGGGTTGGAATAACAGGATTATGCATGTCAATGTCAGTGTCACATGCTGCATGAGAATTGCGATCGAAATCAACTGAAGAAACATTAATTGCTGGAGAGGTAGTTGGGGTAGAAATGGCGTTGGAATCCATGTTTTGGTCCGCTTCAGGATCTTCTGAAGCAGTTAAAAAGGTTTCAACAGTACTATTAATAGTATTGTCGGCTGCATCAGTAATTTCTTCATCGGAATCTTGATCTTTAGCTTGTTTGTTTATGTTTGCTATCGGGATCGGGGTTTCAGATGTTGCGCCAACATCCAATGAAGAGCCCAAAGAAACCGGGGTTTCAATGATTGGGGGATCATTAGTAGGGTCGGTGGAGTAGTTTGGGGTAGCTTTATTACTATTTCTAGTGGTTCTCATGATAATTGAGTATTTTTTTTTTTTTGATTCCAGATTCTAGTGTGCCCTTCCATACTGATTGTAACAACAAATGTTATATTATGGGATCATGGTTAGGTTGTGTCCTGGTTACCATCGGTATGGTACCATACGGAACCCATGATCGGCATTACCTCATCGAGGTATTACCTTATCAAGGTATCACCTTATGTTCCACCCCTTATCTGTTAGTCCTTTATTCCGGGAAGGGGTCCAACACCCCATTATTAGTTTTAATCATTTTATTTATATAAGGATTCAACATTCCTTTAGTTTAGACCTTTATTTAGTTTAGGAAGGACAAGTCTCTTTGGATATAAAATACTGCCTGTAATCTCCACTTTTTTTTTTTAAAGACAAAATTCAATATATTAATTAATTATATAACTATATATCTCATAAACTACCTAATGTAGTTTGAAAATTAAAGTGTTAAGGGAAAACCATTAATGGTGAAAAACCCTATTATTGAGAAAAAATGTTTTTATGCGTTTTTAAGGTTTTTAATTGTTGTTTTTTTTTTGATTTTATTTTTTTTTTTGATTTTATTTTCTTGTTTTTCCCCACCTATTTTTTCTTCTCCGCTTAAAAGATATTGCTTTCAAGCAAGAAGATCATTGAATCAACGGCCATATGACAATTGAAATGCCTTTTGGATTTCAATCTTGATAATTTTCGTTGGAAACCTAGATATCTATCGATCGTTCTGGTTTCGTTCATGTTGGTGGCAGGGGTAATGATTGTTTGCCAGGTTAATGGGATATTCAAGTCAATTTTTTTCCAAAGTTTCTGGGCCAATGGACATTCAATAAGATGGTGCTTCATGATTTCAAATTGGATTTCCTTTGGGGCATATTGGGGTTCATCATATCTGGTTAATTTTTTGCTGCAATAGTCACAATGATTATTTACGTAATTGTGATTTTCAATGCCCAAATGAAAGATGTGAATATTTTGATATTTCCCCGGGAAATGTTGGTTGAATTTTTTGAGGTTATGCCAAAAGTTATCAACTTGTTTCTGATTCACCCCAGTAATGTCCATGAGTGTTTTTGACATCTTGTTCACATCTTGTTTTTCCCGTTGTTTTTTACTTCCTTTAGTATGGTCAAAATCCTTAATTCTAATTGGAATGTGTTGTTGATATTTTTCAGGAATCCCTTTTTCAATTGAATTTTTTAAATCTTCAATTCCAATCTTCATTGGCTTCAACCTGATTGTACGTTTCTTTATACCAAGAACTTTTCTGAAATCCCAGTACGCTGTCCGTTCAGCATCTGAGAATGTGCTGCTATTCATAACTTCTAAGGAAATTGAATCATTGGTATTCTCAATGTCATCCGCTAGTTCAAGTAATACCACCCACCAATAATGAGTTTTGATATAGTCATCCTTTGGTGATTTTGTTGGTGATGTTTTTTGAATGATGTTGTTGATACTTGATTGAATTTTGAAACGTAATATCTGGTTATATTTAGTGTGACTATCCAAAAACAAATCCTGGAAAATTTTGGCTCTTCGGTGTTGGAGTTGAGACTTTAAATCAATCATTGAGAAACCGCCTTTGTTGTTGTGTGTCTTGAGTGTATCCAAAGAAATAGGTGTATCTTGCTTGACCAATAACTTAATCGATGTGTCAATTTGATTCAACTGATTGGGTAACAAAGGTTGGTGTAGTTCTTTGTAATAGAACTTGGATGCAATATATGTGTTGAATGCTTCTATTTTTGATTGAATCAGCAAGCTGGTCATGTTTGATAACTTGTACTTGATATGGAGGTCACGCTGCAATGTTTCCGGCCAAAATGTCACTGATGGTCCAATAGTTATCCCCAAATATGTCAATTGAAAGTTTTCATCAGCAATCTCAAATGGGAATGGTGTCAAAAATGGATAATTATCAGTTGGTATGATTAGTTGGGATTTCTTTTCATTGAGTTTGCTGCCACTGAATTTTTCAAATAGTCTAATACATTTCATTGTTTTGGAATAATCTCTTTTATCTTTGAGGAAAACTGTGATATCATCAGCAAAAGCAAGATAATGTTGACTGCTATATGCTTCAGGTATCAAATCTCCTTGGTAACTATGGCCTCTGGTATTCTGTTTGATAGATCGTAGTAAAGGTTCTACTGCTAATGCAAATAATGAAGGGGAAAACGGATTACCTTGGAGGGTACCATTTTTTAAATTGAATAATGGGCCGGTCATGTTGTTGATGTATAAGGATCCCGTTGTCTGCTTGAGGATGTTGATGATTAACTTGGCTAATTTTTTTCCAAAATTTAAATGGGACAATAGTTGTTCCATATATTCGTGAGATATCCTATCGAACGCTTTCTCCAAATCCACAATTAGTATCAGCTTTTGTGGATTTGGTATTATATGCGTTTTATCTTTTGGATGAATTAGACTATCTAACATTTCTCTGAAAATGGTGATGTTGGAGAACGATGACCGGCCTGGAATAAAACCAGCTTGATCTTCCCCTATGATATCAGGCAAGTGCTTCAACAACCTATTATTAATTATTGTGGATAATAATCGAAGATTAGTGTTGATAAGGGCTATCGGCCTATAGTTTCCAATGTTTTCTTTTGACTTTCCAGGCTTTGGTATGATGTTAAAGAGTATAGTTCGGTAGTGGAATGGTAAATTTCCTTCAGTTAGAATGTGGTTAAATTCTTGAAGAAGGATGTGTTTGATTTGGGGAAATAATTCCTTATAAAATTTGTATGGGATTCCATCTATGCCCGGTGTGGACTTCAAATTTGCCGAATCAATTGCCAGTTTGAGTTCTTCCATTGTTATGGAGGAATCCATTTTTCTCTTCTCTTCAGGAGATATTCCTTGGGTTGGAATCACGTCCTGAAGATATTTATGTATTTTTTTTGTGTCCTTTGTTCCTCTGGTTCCATCAAACAAGTCCATATAATATTCAGTTGCTATTTTCATTATCTCTTCATGAGATTGAACTAGTGTCCCTTCTACATCTTTTAGCTGTTTTATTGGGCGTTGTTCTTGATATTGGTGGAAAACTTGGTTAATATGTTGATAATATTCCGTCATTTTATCAAGTTCAGGCACTTTCACTTTTTTCAACATGTGTTTGAGTTTTTCTGCTTTGCATTTAATATCAATTATTAATTCATCGGTTCCTTGGATATCTTCATTTATAGATTGGTGCCTGAGAACATTAATGACTCTATCGGTTAATCTATATCTCTTCATATTATAGTAAGCCTTGGATGAAGTTAAAGTCAACTCCACTGTAACTGAATCATGTGTGGATCTTTTCCCAAAATGATTTGTTTGTGTCATATTCCATTTGTTTTCTTTGTTTTTTAAGAAGCTCCCAGTGATATAGAACCTATCCAATCTCCGGCTTTTCCCTAATTCTGATGCTTTATTAGTGAATGTTTTCTTGATGTTATGTTTGATTGAATTGAATGAGTCCTTCAAGTTCAACAAAGTAATGAGATTAGTTAAGGATTCAGCAACTGAGTCTTCACGGCTTCTATAATTTAGGGAGTCCGAACGATCAATAAAATTATTAAAATCACCAGCTAACATGATGTTGATTGTCTTTCCTGGGAATCTAGTTTGAAGATTCTGATGTTGGGCAAGTAAACTGAGTTTGAGCTGATCATGGATCTGATTTTGCTTTTGGTATTGATTTGGATTATACAAGTTTATAATCCAGAGTGCTTGGTTATTTTCTAATTCAATTAAGACATCCGTGATGTGTTTTTGGAGTTCATGTTGGACAGTAATACCTGCTAATTTGGATCCTAACACTGGAATAGAATCATCAACAATTATTGCTGTTCTGGAACAGGTTGAATTATAGTATATGACTTTGTTATCGAACTGAAACGAAAAGTCTTCTGATAGATTTAGTTCTTGGAGCAAAGACACATTGGATTTTTGGGTGAAACTTATTACCAACTGGTCGCTGATACGACTCCGTTGTATATTTTGAGTATTGATTTTAATAATCATTATGTTTATTGATTGGAATTTTGATTTGTCTGTTTGTTTCTGGTTGCATCAGCTTCCAGAGTTGACAAATCATCATTGGTTGTTGTTAATTCTGTTTTCTCATGTACTGGAATTTCATCACCCAGTAGCATTTCATCCTCCTCATATTCTTCTGAATCCTCATATTCGTCTTTTGCATCATAGATGTATTCTCCATCATTTTCATACTCCTCATCATATTCTTCGTCATTATCATTATCAGGTTCTGCACTTGATTCAGACAGGGTTGGCTCTTTAGAGCCAGTTTGTGCCAGTTTTGATGTCACTGATGGTTTCTCCCTTTGAAGGATTTTCTTTGGTTTGACGGATGCCTTCTTTTTGGAGGCCTTTCTAACTTGATTAACCGGAGGAGGGGTGATTTGATGCTTTCTGTTGATAGCTGGTGTGGTAGTTTGGATATTTTCATAATCATCATCTCTTTCTTTGGATATTAATCCCAATTGATGGAATGGATTCTTCCATAAATTGCTCAGTTCATTTTGTGGTGGTTTTGACTGTCTGGATCTAGATGAACCATGAACCATGGTGAACTCGGTAGAAGGAACTTCAATCACTGGTGGTTGATTTTGCTTCTGTTTGGGGTTCTCATGACGATCATCTGTAACATTTTTCTTTGGCCGCTTAAAGTAACAGTCTTTAGCTACATGGCTAGGCTTTTTGCAAATCGCGCAAGATGCTTGCTTGCAATTGTATCTGGTGTGTTCTCTTGAACCACAATTGATACAGTGTAAGCATTTAGTAATAACTTTAGAAACAATGTTGTCTTGGTGAATAACCGGGATTTGTTTTCCTGGTTCCATTTCCAAGTAACCATAAATGTAACGATTTTTAAGCTCCTCGTTAGGTCTTTTAGTCATGTCACTTTTAATCACTGAGAATGATG